GGAGATTCGGTCCCTAAATGCCCGTATCTCAACATTTTCCCGTCACGCGACGAGCTTTTTGTAAATTGGGAATTGGATCCGACTGGCCGTAACATGCTGGATGGTGCCCGTGTCGACAATTCACACCCCTTTGCGCACATATCCGTCGTAGCCCCAGCCATATAAGCTACTCCGTTTGCATCCCCTGCATACTCTCGTTACTCTGCGCGACAACTTGCGCGCGCGCTCTGGGTCTGCCTACACATCGCTTCTGTGTGGCCCCTCTTGCGCAAATGCAGCACACCATCGCGCAACCTGTACTCTGCTTCCATGCGGCGCATTTTGCCACAACAATATTACGTTGGCGGGTTCGAGCTTCCGCCTCTCACTTCCGAGCTTCTTCCTAGCTCGTTGAAGCTTCTCTGGCCGGCCCTTTTCAAAGCTCGAATAGCCCTATGCTTGGCGCCATACGCAATTTCATCCCCACCCGGAATCCCCTTCAAAACCTTCGCTTTTAGCCCTCAACTTTAGCTTCCGCAGTAGCTCTGCCTGAATCTCATCTCGGGTTTGTTGAAACACGGCGTTGTTTGGAATGATTGATCGAATGATCAAGTTCACACAATACATATGGAGTGTTCGGAGTCTAGCGGCGCTACTCTAGAGTCACACTACCTAGAGTCACACTCCTAGTCTAGGTCTACACTGATAGCCTAGTAGGCTCAGTTGATCGCGGATAAGCAAGTCCGGAATCTCGCGCAAATCTGAATATCTACGGCTATTATCCAACCTACTCATTACGGCGGTTACTGAATAAGTCATTCGGGTGTAACGCTGTAACCAGCGCGCATTTAACCGCCAACCGCTAATTTAACCGCCAACCGCTAACTACCGGTTATCGTCGAACTCCCGTCGACGTCACCCAAGAGATCGCGTGCACACTAAATGCCCGAATCTCAACAGAGTTAGCTCTTCGTCCCCAAAGCTCGAACACATCCACAAGGGTTGGCATACTCCTGAGCAAACCCTCTGAAGCGTGCACTGCCAGTTCATGCTCTGAGCTAGTTTATCTCGCCCCCTTTCGAATTTAGCTTGAGCTCCCGGAGCTTCCCTAAGTAATCTGCCTGGCTTTCAACTTTAGACGTGTTAAATTCCTCTTGGGCTGAATCATGCTGCGCATTGCTCATTTTCTCAAATTTGGCTTTCAATTTTTTCCACGCTTTTGCCGCGGTGGGTTACCCTCAACTGGGGTATTCTTGGATACGCATCTTTTGTGTGGATCAGCATCAGCCCTCTTGCTTGGCTAGACAATGTCCTTCCTTCAACGGACTTCGGCTCTCTAGTGCACACAACCATCCCTTGTATGCTAGAAGATTACAGAACATGGCCTTCACGTTTACCAATTCTTACCACACAACCACGGGATCGACAAACTTTCTTCCGCCATTTCAACTACCTACATTGTTCCTTGGACACAAAGAAAGCAAATTCTCACAAGCTCACTGGCACAAGCGTTTTAACATCACTCTCTAGAGAACCAGATTTGAAACCATGCGTCCACTTCACAACCAAGCGTTTTGGGCCTATAACCCTTTTGGAACTCATGGTGAGAAACTCGTGATGTAGTTGACTTGTTATTTGGGTTATTGTGACGTGCCCAATATCCCTGCTCATCTCTTATTGATGGCAGCTATGCATCCTACGAGCAACACACGCACTGTTGGATTTAGGCGGAATTACTAAGCTACTTACGCCCAACGTAAGTTCGTAGCCGTTCGATTGTAATTTGAGGTCGGAATATCGACAGTACGCTTCGCGAGTTCGGAGTCGAGTCTTATCTCCAAAATCGACGGTAGGATATTGGTACCGAGGTGGTCCGAGTTGGCACGAATTGGCACGATTTTAGATTGCTCGTTAGATTGAGTATCGATGGTCTAGATTGTTACGTCCGGGTTTGAATTGTACCAAATTGTGTAGGCCGTTAGATTGGATATTGGCGGATTAGGGAATTGGTACAAAGTGTGCCAATTTTTTCCATAGGATGAGGGAACAATTCCGGTGAATCGTTGATCGGGATTCGGCCTCATATAGGCCGTGGATTAGTAAGTACGGTCGGAAACCGTGGTAGGCTAGCTAATTCCGAGGCCTAGCTATGACCTTGAAGAAAGTCATGTTGTGGAGACTCATTTCTAGTAGTTGTGCTTACTTGAAAGGCGCTTGCTTTCAACTCGTCTTCAGCCAGATGCTCGGATCGTATCCGCACGCAACACTGGCCACTCTCACATTCGGTGCCACTGCATGCGCAGGCACCGCGGCCCGCGCCGTTTGCACACTTCACTACCGGCCCAGCGTGGAAGTCTCGGGCGGTGCATCCGCCGGTCGCCGGTGAGCACCCGGGTGGAACATTCGTTGTTACCAGCCTGTGCGCGTCGATGCGTCCGCAGATTCCAAGCGACTGCCACGGGCGATCCTGATTCTCTAGGAACATTGTTGTATGGGATCTGCCGGTGGGTCAGTGTGGTTGGACACGAGCGTCGCATGCAGTCCCCAGTGGGCGGCCTCTTGAAATTGGGGGGGCGGCTACCCCATCGTCGCGTTTCGACTTCTGTGGCGCGGTTGCGGTCACCGATCGACTACCAGGCAATGTCCGCTCACCGGCGACGCCCGTCCCGTCTGCAGGATGGAGAGTCTCCACGAACCACGTGACGGCACATCCAGCTCCCGTGCCGCCCGGAAACCGACTACCCTTGTCGCTTTGGGCCCCAGCGTTCGTCCCTGCTCAGGGCCTGCCTCCCAGGCCCGCGGCGAGCCCTACCTCCTCGCATGTAGACAGCCGTGACGAGGACCCCGCTAGGTCTCGGGACATATACAACTGGTCAGCGTTGGTGGGTGCATTTGAAGGGGCTCTCGAACACCTGGACTGATGAGGCGCTCGAATGCGTGATCAAGGCCCTCCTAGGGATGTTTGGGAGCCGGATCGTCCTTTTTTCGCGGGGCGACGGTATTGTGACCTTCACGATCGAGCCGCACGAGACTCACAAGGAGGCCCGCGTCTGCTTCGCCTCCCCGCTGGCGGGGGAGGTGGCTCCGGAGCTCATTTTCGCGCATTGCGGGCTCCGCATGAGCATCGAGCTCCGTCGGGCGTGGGAGCTCGTGGTCGTGTGTTACCAGCCATGGGTTAGGAACGCCAAAGCCCTCCTCCCCGAGGAATTGCTAGCCAGAGGCGTTTGTGGAGGACTGCAGCAGGGCAGCACTCAGCGCAGACTCCAGGGCCGCGTCCGGCTCCCGAGGCCCATGGAGAGCGAGGAGGCCAGGAGGCCAAGAGTCTCATTCGCACGCAGGTTGCGGCGCTGGGCGGCGACCCGCATCGGGTGGCGCTATTCGGCATCAGCGACGTGCACACGATCGCACGCTTGCGACTCCCAGGTACGCCGCGTCCGTCCGCGCCGCCGCGAGGTCCAACGGTGGGGGCATCGCCGTGGCCGCCTTGGTCTGGTCAAAGGACGGCCCCCTGTCATACCCGGACTCTTCGTCGGCGCCCTGGAGGAGCAGATCCCCAGGGACAAGTTTGAACCGACGGACCTTCCCAAGGGCATCATCGCTGATGCCCTGTCTGACTCTCGGTTTGCGGAGCTCTGGTCCCGCCTCCACGGGCCGACACGTGACGCGCCACGGACGTACGAGTCCCCTTGCCTCACCGGTCCGGCGCGGGTCAAGCGGTGAGAAGCGGAGCGTGGTCCGGAGTTCGTACGCGCGTCTTGACCACGGCTCGTCGACGTGCTTATTACGTCATCGTTGCTCGAAATCGACGAATTTTGCGGAACCCTCGGCTTGGCCTGGCAATACTGTTTGCAGGACCGCCCCGATTGAGGCGAGATCGTCACTGACCGGCTACAAGACCTTCCACGCGCGAGTTCCAGAACATAGTGCAAGTTCCTAAACTTGCAAAAATGCGCTGCAGGTACGACATGCCGTGGCTCTTGGAGTACAAATGTTGGAAGGTACCGGGAGCCGCACGACCGTGGGAGTGCGTCGCGAGGCGCCCCCCTCAAGCTGAGGAGCAGAACTTGGATAGTACCTTCACCCACTCGCCATCAGTGCAGCCGCGAGCGTCGGCGCCCGCGCTGGTGGCCAGCCCGGTGAGTGGATCCAGGGTGTAGTGCTGCCGTTCGTTTTTCCAGCGCGGGTGGCGCGTGCATGATAGTTGCCGCTGTTCCGGTGCGTCCTCGTGCACGGGAGTCCCGCTGCCACTGCGTACCATGATGGTCGCCCCGCTCTTAAACTCCTCCCACATTTCTACTCGTTTTGCTGACAGCCACTAACAGCCACCGTCTCGTGCAGAGCCCGCCCCCTCATGCGGCGACCCCGAGGCAATCATGTTCGCTGCACATCCCGTCGAGGACAAGCGCCGCAGAGCCGATGCCGAAGCTGCTGCGGGCTTTGAGGATACGCCGTCGACCATTGTGACATCGCCCGACGCGGCGCGAGCTACCCGAGCCCTTGCGCGGCGTGAGATGCGTGCTCTCACCAGAAAGGCACCGATTGTGTCTACGGACTGCGGTCCTGTAGGAGCACGTTTTCGTGCGAGCGCTGGACGTGGCTTGAATTGGCGCTTTCCTCGATGTTTAGCTCCTTGCTCAGCATCTCGTTTGCCCTCCGGGATCCCGGGAGTCAGCTCATTGTACTTTCTGGCGCGCAGGTTAGTGGAGCGGCGGCGCAAGCACCGATTTCGGGCAAGCGGGGCGGAGGGCCGGCTTGCTGCCAGCGAGCCGCCTATGGGGACCGATGAGACCGTGCTGCGGATTGCGCGGCATCGCTCCAGGTCGATAGTGGGGTCGGCCTCGTCGATAGTGTAATGAGGGGTTAGGCACCTGTCTTCAAGGGCATCGCCTCTAGACAGGATTAGGGCCTCACTTCATCGAGCAGCTAGGGTCTTATCGGTTCTATAAAAGTACTTTAGGGACAGGCTCTCGCGAGATTACTGTCTCTGGCTCCCACCCTTTGACTTCCCCTCCAACCAACTGATCGCTTGTTGATCCGCTTGTTAAATGTGGTTCTCTCGGCTCGACCATGCCAGGATCCTCTCAGCCCCGATTCAATTCACGGGAGGCAGTACTCGGCGGACGACGACTTGGGCCAGGAGGTGTCCCTCGACAAAGTGCTCGCGCAGCATGTCCGCGGCAGACACTTGTCCGGCGCATATTACCCGCCCGTCCGCTCGTCTGACCCCTCGTGTTTAGTGCGTGTCCCGCCCGCGCGTCCCCTATGAAGCCGAGTCTATTTCCTCGCAGATGATGCCCATGGCTTGGGCACTTAGTGTATGTTACTCAGCAAGTCGCTCCTACTGTTTCGAAGGCTTCCAAATTGTAGGGGAAGTTGTCCATCGTTTTCAGATGAGTGCCCGGAGAAGTTGTCAGCTCGGTGGCGATTCCTGTTCAAACACTCCCCCTCTTGCATCTGTTCCGCTCTACTCTTCGTCCGTGTGGCCGGGAGTGCGGTGCACCCCCAATCGCTATTGACCGGAATAGCTCGAATTCGAGTGGTTGGTCGGCGGCATGCGCCAGAAGAATATCACTCATGCTGGCACTGTGGCCATGTCGATGCAGGCCCGTCTTGGACGCAGAGCGGCTTGCCGCCCCCCCGTTGTCGAGCGCCTCGACGCCGCCGGCACACAGCGCGTGCGTCTCTGGCCCATACCGTCCACCGGACCTCTTCACGCAGTGTACGGACCTGGTCCCTCCAACCCACCCGGGAGGGCGGATGGGGTATGGTTGTTGGCCGTCGACATGCGCAAACGGTCCCCGCCCCCCCATGCAGACAGCGCCGACGACACTGGCCGCCTTCTGGGTGAGCTCCTCGTTGCGGCGTGAGCCGCCTAAATTGCTAAGTGCCGCGCGCCCCCTCCCGATTCAAGATGCTGCAGACACCACTGCAGGCTCCCATTCGGTGCTGACCTCGAAGCCTGCTCAGAATCTCCTCCCGCCCCCCGGGCCCCTCCCCTGCCGCGGGTCTTCTGCAACACCATGCACAGTATCGTTGCGGGCGTCTGATGCCTGCTTTTCTCTTTCAACCTCTACGCTTCTTGTCCGGTCCTTCTCCACTAAAGACTCGTGAACTCGGATTCCCGATCCCTCTGCTTCCGTCACGATCCGTACCACCTCATGGCCCCGTTGTCTGAGAGCGGCTTTGTCTGTTGCGAGGGACCGAGCGGTTTAGGCATCTTCTTTCCCGGACGAGTCTGTTTGTTGGACCATTTTTTGCAAGCAATCTTGATTCTTTTTCTGCAGGCCATTTGTCAATGAATGCTTGTACTCGTGTCACCCTATTTGCAGGACTTCCTGTCCTGGAGAAATAGCAGGCGGTGAGTTGAAAGAGCCGTGCTGTACTTTGGCGATCCAAGCTTGCGTACCTTCTATTACCGAGTATATATACCGACAACATTGCCAACCCTTAGTTTGCCTGACTTTGCACCACTCCGTCATGCGCGCAGGCTAGCCGGGACTGGGAAACCGGGCTACGTCTCCTCCACCAACACATCCAGGTGAGGGTTGGCCAGGTGAAGAGTGGGACGCGCGCCGGCTTGCAGAGGAACTCGAGCCGCACGAGCGAAAGGTTTGGGGGGGGCGTCTGTCGGCAACCGGCGATGTCGGACGCGAGGCAGGAGGCCCCTCTGCGGGGACCAATCCACAGCGCGCGGCAGCGGCTCAGCTGGCAGTTGCAGCCAGGACGTTCGCCGCCAGGGTGAGAGCACACAAGTTCAGCTGCGCCTGCTTAAGCATGCACCGTTGCTCCGTTGCAGCTGTGGGTGCGTGAGTTTTAGCGCTGGCGCACAAGGGACTGCCAAAATGTGCCCCGTCGAATTGCTACTCTTGCCGAGCAGGGGTTGTTGCTCGTTTTCCTGTACGCCACACCTGACTGATCTGATGGTGGGCCAGCCATTTCAGCGTGGTCTCGGCTTGCTGAAGTGCGTCTTGTCATCCTGAGTGGCCATCCCTCGAGCGATCCCCCAAAGCATAGGGCCTCTGAGCTACTGATTGGCTTGGGTTCCGTGCCAAGTGACGCGTGCCCGGGGAATGTTGAACGGCCAGCAGAACACATGCCAGCGGACAAGACCGCCGTCAACGCCTACAAAGCCGTCGACAAAGTTTAGGGATGCAGTTCGGGGGCACAAGCAGACGGTCGAAGAGAGGACGCCCGGGCTCGGGCCCCTCACCACGAGACCGCTACTGGGCCGCGTTGACAGCACAACAGGCGAGGCGAGCGGCGCTTGCCAGAGCAGTCGACGGAGGAGCGGGTCTCGGACCAGTGGCACCGACGGGGGCGGGGTGTGGACGGACCCTCCGTGATCATGCAAGGACCCCTGCCAGTCGAAAGCGTGAGGGCC